TTGTGCAAGGAAAGCAGCAGAAGCAGCAGAAGTCTTTCTTTCTCTCCCCCAGACTCCGCTAGAAATGAGTCTTTGCTGGAACAGCCTCTTGGAGCGGGAGGCCTTGCAGGGTCCCAAAGACTCATTTCTGGTGGAGTTTGGGGGAGAGAAAGAAAGACTTTTGCTGCTTTCCTTGCGTGCAGCCAAAAGCAGAAGAAGAAAGAAACAGCCCTGTGGCCAGGTGAGGCGCGTGGGGCAAGTTCCCCCCCCCTCTGCCCTTTCCCTCCTCCCCTCACTACCTCGTGTTGTTCGCAATGCAAGCAACGCAAGCCTTGTCTTCCCACGGGCCATGTGGGCGGCAGTTTTGTGTTCCCACACAGCCTGAATTAATTGCTTTGGGGGGTGATTTGGGGGTGACATTTCTCTGAGGACCACCAAAATTTTCTCGCGGACCACCAGTGGTCCTCGGCCCACTGGTTGGCGACCACTGACTTAGACAGTAACAGTGATTTAATATACAACAGTTTTATAAAGACAATATACATGTGGTGGCAAAATACCTTTACAAGTAAGCTTTTCTTCCTCCTAACACATGGAGAACTTCTGCACTGAATTCAGTGTTCCAGTGTTGGAGCACCCACAACTTCTGGTGGGAAGCTGTTCCACTGGTTAATTGTCTTCACTGTTAGGGAGTTTCTCTTAGTTGCTTCTCTCCTTGGTTGAGTTTCCATCCATTGTTTCTTGTCCTGCCTTCTGGCGCTTTGGAAAAAATCAGTTGACCCCCTTTTCTTCTTTGTGGCAGCCTCTCAAAATACTGGACTCGTATCGTGTCTCCTCCCCTTGTCGTTCTTGTCATTAAACTAGACCCGTGATGGCGAACCGATGGCACGCGTACCACAGGTGGCACGCAGAGCCGTTTGTGCAGGCACGCGAGCCCCCAAGCAAAGTTACCTCACTGCGCATGCACGTACGTGCCTCCCAGCTGATTTTTCAGGCCTTTTCCGGAAATACCGGAAGGGACAAAACGGGCCCCATTTTTCGGCCTGCAGAAGCTTCCCTCAAGGCTCTGGCAGGCCGAAAAGGTCCTCAAACAGGCTGAAAATCAGGCGCAGTGCAGGTAAGGCGGCAGTGGCGTGTGTGGGGGGGAATTGAACGCACACGTGCAGGGGGTGTGTGGGGGGGCCACGTGCATTGCTTTCTGGGTGCTGGCACGCGAGAATGCATGCACAAGCGCACAGGCAATTTTTCAGCACAGGAGCCCAGAAAGGTTAGCTACTGTCAGTCGGTGCTCCATTCAAAATCCAAGAAAGAAATACTTAGACTCCATAAATTAGAGAAAAGAATTCTTTTACTGAAAAATGAAGGGGTAGCATCAAATAGGATTCCGAATCTGAGAATTTAGGCGCGCAGATCACATATACAAAGTGATGAAGTTGTTCCCACCCGCCATAGTTCAAAAGATTCTTCCAATTAAAAGTTCTGGATATGATCATGTGGACCTCTTCAGGTGGTGATGAGGCCTCTGTCCGTTGACCTTGGCATATTTTGATAAAGGTTTGCAGCTGCGCAGAGAAAAGAAAGCTAAGCGAGAAATAGAAATCTAAAAGCAGGAATTTATACTCCCCCCCCACTCCTCATTTACACCACACAAGAATGTAAGACCTCCAGCTCTCTTCCCAGACATTATCCCCTTCCTCCCCCCGTTACTTATGGCAGCCAAAAGATGCAAGGCAGTAGAAAAGATGCAAAGCAGTAGATCTTGAAGGCTGACAGCTACCATTGAACTATATACCCAATTCCTGCAACTGTTCTTCATATGTTTTAGTCTCCAGTACCCTAATAGTCTTTGTTACTCTTCTCTGCTCCCTTTCTAGAATCTCACCATCTTTTTTTATTATCCTCCCCCCCCCCCCCCCCCCGTGCTTATACAGGGGATGACCGTTACCTCGAGCCAGGCTGTGAAAAATGCCAGAAAATTGCAGTGGCCCCTGATGGAGACCTCAGCTGGCATTTATGAATCAGAAGCTCCGGGGGGATATAAGTTCTTCCTGGAAGACAAAGAACGACCCCAAGAAGGTAAATGTTGTGACCTGGGCGTCCCCCAAAAGCGCGAAGCTGAGCTGAGCTGATTCCTCGTCCCGATAAAACCCTTTTTTATTTAGTTTGTTAAAGGGAATTCCTCTCCAGCCAAGTCCCGGCCAACAGCCTTTCAAGAGATTTCACAACTACAGAACCTCGATCAGGCTTGGAGAGCTGGCAGACCGATAGCTTCCAAACGCCACACTGTAGCAGACAATACTTGGCAAGGAGTCAGGAACGGTTCTTCACCCGAAGGATTTGAACGAATTGTCTCCTGCAAAGCCCCATTTCCCCTTTTGCTCCTCTTTTATTCCCTATGGGAGGGGCCATTCATCGTCCACCTGTGGCTTTACTCCTGAGTCGGCCCTCGTTCCTCAGCTGTTCCCTTCGTCTGGCAGTTCTGTGCATGCGCACACTGGGAAACAGGCTCCGGCTGTTCTTCTTCCCCACTGATTTCCAACTCCGAAGGCAAGCTGATCACTGTCGGACAGCCCTGGCCCCACCTCTGCCTCCGACACACAGCTCCTCATCAGAGCCTTCCCCAGACTCCAGGACCGGCCCATGTTCCTCCCCAACCTCCTCATTGTCCAAATCAACTGCCAGCTCCTTTGCTGGCCGCTGGTGGGCCACAACAGTAAAGGAGCAGAACAGAACAACGAGGTTGCGGCCACTCTGTTTGCCCGCCCGATGATGCTCTGAAGCCCAAATTCAGGAAAGATGATAGAACCATGATGGCGAACCTATGGCTCGCATGCCACAGGTGGCACGCAGAGCCATTTGTGCGGGCACGCGAGCCCACAGGCAAACTTATCTCACTGCGCATGCGCGTGCCTTCCAGCTGAATTTTGGGCCTTTTTCGGAAATACCGGAAGTGACGAAACAGGCCCATTTTTTCGGCCTGCAGAGGCTTTCCTCAAGGTTCTGACAGACCGAAAAAGGCCTCAAACAGGCTGAAAATCAGTTGGACGGCACAGTGCGGGTAAGCGGGGGGCGGTGTGGGGGGGAATCGTGTGTGCATGCGCAGTGGGTGTAGAGGGGGGGGCGTATGCATTGCCCTCTGGGTGCTGGCACGCACAAGCACACACAATTTTTCGGTGCAGGAGCCCCCAAAAAGGTTAACCAACACTGTGATAGAACGTCCCCAAGAGCTTTGAAGAACGATGAATAAAACAGCACCGCTTGATAAATCATTAGTTAAGACCACACGCCTGGAACATAGGTAGTCCTCGGCTTACAACAGTTCACTTAGTGACCGTTCAAAGTTACGTCGCTTTTTAAAAAAAACAACTAACGAATGTTTTTCACACTTACGATCCTCGGCCACGTGATCAAAATTCAAGACGTTTAGCAATGGATTCATATTTATGACGGTTGCCGTTTCCCGGGCTCACGTCATCCCCTTTTGCGACCTTCTGACAAGCAAAGCCAACGGGGAAGCTGGATTCATCTAATGACCGTGCTACTAATTTTAACCACGGTGGAAATTCACTGAACGGTGGTGGCAAGAGAAGGTCGTTAAATGGGGCAAAACTCACTTAACAAATGTCTCCCTTGGCAACCTATTGGGCTCGATTGTGGGCTCGTAAGTCGAGGACGACCTGTACTGCATCCAGTGATGGTCCCCATATTACAATTTTGGAAAAAGTGCAGAGAAGAAGAGCAACTAAGATGAGGATTAAAGGCCTGGAAATTCAAACACATGAAGAACGATGGCAGGATTTGGGTTTGGCCCATCTAGAGCCATGATGGCGAACCTAGGGCACGTGTGCCGAAAGTGGCACACAGAGCCATTTCCCCCCGGCACGCAAGAGCTCGCCTGGAAGAGCCCCAGTGCGCATGGGCCGCTGCCGCCCGACAGATGATTGTCGGGTATCTGGCACGCATGCGCAGGGGTGCGTGGGAGAACGATCAGACGCACGGTGCGGGGGCGATCCCGCCTGCATGCACACATGTGCAGCACGCGGCGGGGGAATTGCGCGCGCATGCGCAGCTACGCGGCGTGCTGCAGGGGGGTCGCGCACGCATGCACAGATGCGTGGCGCGTTGCAAGGGAATCGCATGCACGGGGGGGCAGCACGCATTGTCTTCTGGGTGCTGGAACGCGCAATTATTGTCACAAGGGCAGAAAAAGTGGTTTGCCACCACTGGTCTAGAGAAAAGAAGGACTTGGGGGACATGATAACAGTCTTCCAGTATTTGAGGGGTTCCCACAAAGGAAAGGGAGTCAAGCTATTCTCCAAAACACCTGAAGGCAGGACAAGAAACAATGGATGGAAACTAATGAAGGAGAGAAGCAACCTGGAGTTGAGTAGAAACCAACAGTGAGGACAATTAACCAGTGGAACAGCTGGCCACCAGAAGTTGTGGGTGCTTCACATCACTGGAGGTTTTTAAGAAGAGATTGGGCAAGTCACTTGTCTGAAATGGTGTAGGATCTCCTGCTTGGTCAGGGGCTGGACTAGAAGACCTCCAAGGTGCCTTCCAGCTCTTTGGGTCTAAGATTGTATGATTCTGGATTGATGTCAGAATTCAATCCCGTCCCCGAGGTTAACGTTGATCCCTTTTATGGGAAAACTAATCAAGGATAGAAGCAAGAACCTAGAACTAAGGAGAAACTTCCTAACCTTGAGAAAAATTAACCGGTGGAACAGCTGGCCACCAGAAGTTGTGGGTGCTGCATCACTGGAGGTTTTTCAAAAGGGACTGGACCGTCCCTTGTCTGAAAGGGCACAGGGTCCTCCTGCTTGAGCAGGGGGTTGGGCTAGAAGACCTCTTAAGGTCCGTTCCGGCTCTATTCCATTCCAAGCCCTCGGATATCCTTCCGAAGGGGATGGAAAACAGTGGGACCCACTGCTAGTTGGGATGTGCTGGGGAAGGCCTCTGGTTGACCCATGCGAGGACCCGGACGTAACAGGGTGAGTCTGGTCCAGAGGAAGATGTTTCGAGTGGCTCGCCTTGTCCTGCCACATGAAGTCTGCATTGGAGCCCACCTGTATTGTCCTTATCCTTCAGATCCAGTGCTGAAGGTGACGCTGGCTGTATCCAACCTGTCGAAATCGGTGGATTACTGGTCCAGATTGCTGGGCATGAAAGTGTACGAGAAGGACGACGGCAAGAAGAAAGCTGTGCTCGGTTACGCCGACAACCAGGTGAGAGGCTGGTGTCCTTGGGGCAGTGTTTCTCAACCTTCGGGACCTGAAGGTGGGTGGACTTCGACTCCCAGGATTCCTCAGCCTGCATGCTTTAAGACAGGAGGTGGGCTGATAATCGGTTCGTACTGGTTCACGCGAACCGGGTGTCGATTTTACATCCGGTTCGCTGAACCGGTAGTTACAACGACTGCCTCGGAGTCTCCACACGGCCCATTTCGGATCCCAGATAAGTGCAGGGCCTGAGCGGAGGCTCAGGGAAGTGAAAATGGGCCTCCTGTGGGCTCAATGGGCCCGTTTCCGGCCTCCGGCGGGCCTCCGGAGCCCAGGGAGGCCGTTTTTGCCCTCCTGGAGGCTCGAGGAAAGCCTCCGGAGTCCGGGAAGGGCAAAAACGCCCCACCCCCCCACCCCGTGGGTGCAGGAGGCTGACTAGGCCACGCCCACCATGGCCACACCTGCCCAGCAACCGAGCAAAGAACCGGTTGTTAAGTTTTTTGAAGCCCACCCCTGCTTTAAGACGTCTGGACTTCCATTCCCAGAATTCCTCAGCCGCCACATCCTAAAAGCACACAGACTGGGGAGTTCTGGGGATTGAAGTCCACCCTTCTTCTTACAGTTGTCAAGAAATGCCACTCTCTATTCATTCCGCCCGAAGTGCCCTGCAGAGTAGTTGGACAGCCAGCCCATAAGGCTCAGCTAAGGTTAGGGTTATGGGATGAGAATGCATTTGGAGGGCATCCCATTGAACAAAGGTCTTGCACGCTAGTGAAACTTTATTGTCAAGGCTGCAGTCCTCACACAGACACCTGAGTTGGGAATGGGTTGTTAAGTGAATCTGGCTTCCCCGTGGACTTGTGATGACCCAAAGGGGCGTGGCACAAAGGCAACCCAGTCAGATAATCAGTAGGAGTCCCTTTATTAGCTCCAACTTTGCCCCCAATGTCTTGGTTACCTTCTGGCTAGAGAAAAACTCTCCCAGGAACAGCCTTTGGTGGCAGAGAATCAAGTCCAAAACATGGTCAACAAAAACTGTAACTATAAGTCCAATCCAGGCAAAATGAGGTAATTAGTCTGGCAGGGCAGGAGAAGAAATTCCAGACATGACGGAACGGCCGTAATTCAACACCGCTGGGAGGATGCCAGGAACATAGATAACCAAAGTCAACACAAGATAAAGTCACGTTTGTTCCCAGCAGCTGCCGCACTCAGCATGCATCTCTTTTAAACTCTCTTCCCAGCTGTGGCTAATTGAAGGGAATCAGGGCCCTTTTCTCCCCCATAAGCCAAGCAACCCATGTTGGTCTCTTCTCCGTTCCTCCCTGCGTGCCCTGGGATGAAGAGGGGGTGGGCTTGGGTCTTCCTCTGAACTCCCTCTCCCTTGTTCTACCTCTTCCCCTGCTCTGCCCAGCCAGACTTTGCCCTTCCCCAGCCTCCTCCACAGCCAACGGAGCCACACTCCCTATCAGCTGTTTGTCTTCCCCCTTGGATTCAGATTTCGAAAGGGCATGACAGTCGCAAAAGGGGATCGCGTGACCCTGGGACAATGCAATCATCATAAATACATGCCGGTTGCTAAGGGTCTGGATTTTGATCATGTGTCAATGGGGATGCCACAACGGTCATCAACTGCGGTGCGATTCATCCGATGTAACAACCGGTTCAGTGAGCGCGCGCTTTGCCCATTTTCAACTCAGTTGCTTATCTTCTACTGCAGCCCCTGGGACTAAAACAACGAATCAGCTGTGCTATAAAAAAAAAAAAAACAGGAAATAAAGCACAGAAAGACACTTCCTGTCCAGCAGTTGTTCAGAGAAGGGGTCCCCAACCACCGGGCCGCGGACCAGTACCGGTCCGTGGAACATTTCCTACTGGGCCGCTGGTTTGCTGGGCGCCGCCATCTTGTTTGACGAGAAAGTGCTTCCGGGTGAGCTTTTCCAGTTGGAAAGTGGCGTTTGGGTCTTGAAGGAATCCTCGCACCTTAGTTTCATCGAAGGGGGGGGGGCTTCGAACGAAACTAAGGCACGAGGATTCTTTCAGCACCCAAGGCAAGGCGAGCCGAGCGACCGTCCCGAAGCCGTCCCGAAGCGAAGCCCATCGACAAAGGTACAAAGGAGGAGTTGAAGGTGGCGGGGAGAAGCAGGGGACGGCTGGCTGGCCAGTCGCTCGGCTCGCCTTGCCTTGTCATGCGTGCTGATGCCGGTACCGGGCTGCGGATCATTTTGTGATGCTGGTACCGGGCCGTGGCACAAAAAAGGTTGGGGGCCACTGGTTCAGAGTATTGCAGTGTAAATTCAGTGCCAGAAAAGTAAACGCAGATGGCCGAGGCTTCATTTCACTTCTTTATCAATACAGTATATAAAGTAAATTTAACAAGACCAGTTGTAGATTTCTCCAACAGGAAGCAAACTCAAACAAGCAGACATGTTACAGGTTCAGAGCAGAACAGCCGCTCAACAGCTCAGAAACAGGCATCAGTTTCACTTTAGTTCAGCAAGCAAGCAGAGGCGAGAAGCAGTTTCATTTTCAATAGACAGACTCAAAGCTTAACATAGCTTCAGAGCGGCAGAGCTTAATAAAGAGCCACGCCTAGGCTACTTCTAAGTTTCAGTTTCCAAACAGTCTTCATTGGCTGACTTAGTTGCTATGCCTTTTCACTGGCTGACCTTGTGACCAGGCTCTATTCCAGTTCATGGGATATACCCTGGACAGCAGTCTACACCCAGATAAGCAGCGATTGACCCCAGACAAATGCTCAAGCAGAAAGTAAGTAGAAAACCACGCTCCCAAGTCAGATGGGCAGACTAGAACAAGACCATAGAAGTCCACCCAAGTTTACAATTCAGGCCTTTTTTGCATCCTGAACCAGACTGGGAGCTGCCTGAAAACTGGCCGGTATCATTTTGTGTGGCTTATGTGTGTGTGTAAACCCAATTGTTCTTATTTTTATTTTAATTCTAGTGTAAACTCGAGCTGCAAAGCATCGGCCAGGATGTAGATCACGGCACAGCCTTCGGACGCATCGCCTTCTCTTGCCCGAAGGAAGAGGTGGGTTATTTTGTCTTTTACAAGTAGTCCTCATTTTACAACCAGAATTGAGCCCAAATTATTTTCCATTGCTAAGCGAGTTGTTAAGTGAGTTTTGCCTCACTTTGTGCCTTTTTTTTGCTAGTCATTAAAAGAATCATACAGTCATTAAGTGAATCCAGTCCCCCCCCCATTGACTTGGCTTATCAGAAACTAACCTCAAGATGCTGCAACTGTCATAAGTACATGTCAGTTGCCAATCGCCCCAGTTTTGATCACATGACCATAGGGATGCCACAAGTGTCATAAGTGTGAAAAACGGTGATAAGTCATTTCTTTTTTTGTGTCATTGTAACTTCGAACAATCACTAAATCATAGGCTGTAAGTCAAGGACTTATCTGGATGTTTATAGTACAAAGCAGTGTCAAAAACATGGAAGGGATTGAGGATTTTGAGCAACAATGCTTTCAAAAATGATTTCTTTTTATGTTTTGAAAATCCTCTGTTTTGAAAATACTCCCTTTTTATATTTCGAAAAGGTTTTTTCTGTTTTGAAAATTCTATGTTTGAAAATCTTTTTATGTTTTAAAAAAAACCTTTTAGGTTTTTAAAAATCTTTTTACATTTTCAAAATATTTTTATATTTTCAAAATATTTTCTTTTTACCTTTTGAAAATGCTTCATTTACATTTTGAAAATGCTTTCTTGTCGTGTTTTGAAAACGTTTTTGTTTTGAAAATACTTTCTTTTTTACATTTCAAAAATCTTTTTACATTTTAAAAGCTCTGTCAACTAAAAAATACTTCTTTACGTTTTGAAAATATACTTTCTTTTAAACGTTTCGAAAATGCTTTGTTTTTACGGTTTTTGGTTTTTCTCTTTTGAAAAATCTTCCTATGTTTTGAAAACCTTTTTAAAGTCTTTGTTTCAAAAAAACGTTTTTACATTTTCAAAATACTTTCTTTTCGTGTTTTGAAAATCTTTTTGTTAAATTTTTTTTGAAAATAATTTCTTTTTAGGTTTTGATTTATTTTTTTTTGCTGTTTTAAAAACTTTTTACCATTTGAAAATACTTTCTTTTTACCTTTGGAAAACCTTTTTACATTTTAAAAAGTCTTTTTACGTTTTGAAAAATCTTTTTACATTTTCAAAATGCTTTCTCGTTACATTTTGAAAATACTTTGTTTATGCTTTGAAAATGCTTTCTTTTCATCTTCTGAAAATCTTTTTATGTTATGAAAATACGTTCCTTTTACATTTCGAAAAGGCTTCCTTTTCACGTTTTGAAAATATACTTTCTTTTTCTGTTTTGAAAATACTTTCTAGAAAGCGGGGGGGGGGGGGGGCTGTTATTTGCAGCAAATTAACCGTGACTCTCTTCTATTTGGTCTCTTCTCTTCCCACCCCCTCCCCAAATGTCTTCTTCACTGGATCCTGTTTCGCATCATTTACCAAGTTGCCTGTTATTGAAGCCTTAATGAAAAAGGAGTACCAGAAGATTTTGACGCCTCTGGTGAGCCTGGACACGCCCGGGAAAGCAACGGTGCAAGTCGTCATTTTGGCCGATCCTGTAAGTCAGTGGTCCCCAACCTTTTTTGTACCAGGGACCAGTTTCAAGCAGAAACACTTTTTCAAGGACCGGGGGCGGGGGGGGGGAGTCCGAGTTTGGTGGTTTGCTTGCAGAAGTTTCATTACCTGACTAGGTAACATCTGATGTTGTTACCTAGTCGGGTAATAAAACGTCTGCCAGCAAACCACCAAGTTCAGGGAGCGCCAATGCCTCCTCATTGCAACCCTGAGTGACAGATATTCTCTTCTATTGGGACATTTAAAACGGAGGGTTTCAGCTGCAGATTCAGGAACTGCGCTGGGCTGAGGAGCGCCTTCAAAACTGAGCGCTGAAACGGAGCTCCGAAACAACCAGAAACGCAGGCAGAACGGAGCACTGGATGGAACCACGGGCGGCGGGGTGGGGGTGAACGGGCGCTTCGGAGGAGCTGCACTGACAGGAAAAGCCACCCTGCCGGCTTCTTTGAAGCAGTTTCTTACTAGGCTGGTGGAGGAGCGAGAGAGCGACTGAGAGAGGAACGAGGCGGGAGGAAACCGAAGCCGCTGAGCCAGAGAGCAGGACAGGCTTTGGTTGCTTCCTCCCTCCCCTTCTCTCCTTTGTGTCCTTGATCCCTGATCCCAGCAGCATTCACCGAAGGCGAAGAAAGCCGCCATTTTTTAATTTTATTTTCTTTGCGGCCCGGTACAGAGTGCTCCACGGACCGGGACCGGTCCGCGGCCCGGTGGTTGAGGACCCCTGCTGTAAGTGCCCTTAAAATAAATATGTTACTGGATCATGAGCCAAGCTTTGTTTATTTCCAGTCCCTGCCTTTCAGAGATAGACTACTACCCTATTTCCCCCCAAAATTACGACCTACCCTGAAAGTAAGTCCTAGCTTGGTTTTTTACACATGCGCCCAATATAAGCCCTACCCTAAAATAAGCCCTAATTCGGATCCTACCCACTCTAGAGTGGACGGGTAAAAATTAAGCAAGGATGGGGGGATATGTGAAACTGCCTTACTGCTTGTTCTGACCCAGGCTTCATTCAAATGAAGGAAACACATGCTGTGTGTAAAAGCAAACCTTTTTTTAATGCGACGCTGGGAATTATTTGCATTCCCAGCCCAAACTCATTAAACACAATTGTCTTGAGATAAGAGCATGCCTTTCAGGGTTGTAAAAGGCTTCCAAGAAACAGAAATCCACTTAACTAGAAGAAGATAAACCGCCAGAAGTTCCAGCAAAGACAAACCAGAGTTCGCAGGGCTTCGATGAGGAATCAGAATCGAATGAACTTCTTTGCTTCCTGAAAAAGAGTACATCACCAAGGGCTGGCTTTTATCCCTCCTAGGAGGGGCAATCACCTCCCAGCCTTACTCCCGAGTCGCCCCTTTTGTCTCAGCTGCTCTCACCTTCTAGCAGCTCTGCGCATACGCACACTGGAAACAGGCTCCCCTGGGTCCTCTGCCTCGCTGCTGCCAGACTCCGGAGGCTCCGAAGGCAGCACCCCACTCCCAGATGGTCCTGGCCCCATCCCTGCATCGGATGCAGGACCCTCGCCAAGTCCTCGCCGGACTCCCTGACTGGTTCCCTTTCGTCCTCACTGTCCAATACCTCTGCCGTCCGCACCGGCTGCCGGCGAACCACAACACCGCTTACCTTTGGACAGTTGTAGCCAGGCCTCGCACACCCCGACACTTGTCTTGCCGGCCCATTTCTTCGGCAGCCGGCAAGGCTGGTAAGGCTTTGCTGAAGGCCTCTGGAGCTGAGAACAAAGCTCTGGATCGATCCTGAGCTCTGTTACCGGCTGCGGAGGCCTTCAGGAAAGCCTTGCTGGCCGCAGAAGAAGAAGTTCCTAAAGGCCTCTGACCGCGAAAAAGAGCCAGGGACAACGCATGCAAGTTAGTCAGTGGATGATGTCCCCCCAAAATAAGACCTGGTGCCTTTTTGGGTGGCCAAAAAAATAAATAAAAGTAAGACAGGGTGTGATGACCCGGAGTGTAACACAAACGTAACAAAATCCAAAATGTAAATAATGAGGGGGATCATGGCCGCTTCCTCTCTCGTAAGCCAAGTTGTTGCCTTCTCTATTCCTCCCTGTGTATCCTAGGAAGCAGAGGGGACGGACCTGGGTCTTCCTCTGACTGCCCAGCCGGCCTCAGCCCTTCCCCAGCCTCCTCCACAACCTCCGGAGCCACACCTCCACTCCCTGTTGGCTGTTCCTCCTCTCCCTCCAAGTCCGACTCTAACAAGGGCATGACACTGGGTCTTATTTTGGGGAAAACATTGTACTAAATACGAAGGCTCCATGAAAAACAATTATGGCTAAGGCCCGGAGGAGCTGGTGATACAGATTGTCCTTGAGTTAGGACCTCAGTTGAGCCCAAAATTTATGTTGCTAAATTTCAGACTTGAAAGCACAGCAAAGCTCACATGGTTGGGAAGACGCCAGGAACACAGATAAGCCATGGCAACACAGGATGAACTCACGTTTGTTCCCAGCAGCTGCCGCACTCAGCTTGCATCTCCTTTAAACTCCCTTCCCAGCTGTGGCTAATGAAGGGAATCAGGGCCCTTTCCTCCCCCATAAGCCACACACTCCACGTTGCTCCCTTCTTTGTTCCTCCCTGCGTGCCCTAGGATGAAGAGGGGGTGGGCCTGGATCTTCCTCTGAACTCCCTCTCCCTTGTTCTGTCTCTCCCCTGCTCTGTCCAGCTGGATTTTGCCCTTCCCCAGTTTCCTCCACAGCCAACAGAGCCACACTCCCGCTCCCTGTCAGCTATTCGGCTTCCTCCTGAGATTCAGATTCCGACAGAGGCATGACAATTTACAACAATTTAGCGACCGTTCAAAGTTACTGAAAAAGTTACTTATAACTGTGTTTCACACTTACGACTGTTGCAGCATCTGAATAGTCACATGATAAAAATTCGGACCCTTGGCAACCTGACTCATACTTATGACGGTTGCAGCGTCCCAGAGTCACGCAATCCCCTTTGGCGATCTTCTGGCAAGCAAAATCAACGGGGAAATCCGGATTCACTTCAAAACCGTGTTGCTGACTTTAACGACTGCAGCGGTTCACTTAACGGTGGCTAGAAAGCTCGCAACGGGGGGTAAAACTCAGCAAGAGAAAAAATTGAGGACTACCTGTACCATTGCAATTCCTGAGTTCTCCAGGCTGTTAAGACTACAGGTAGTCCTCGACTTAACAA